CGGCCTCTCCCACCCCCTCTTCCTCTGCTGCCTCCTGCAGCTCCATACCCCTCAGCAGTTTTGTTGGCAGCACCACCTCCTGTGTGGCGCCTGCGGAAGTCATCCTGCAGGATCTGCTGCCGTAGCCACTCAGGCGTCCACTTGTCCTGCTGAACGTTGAGGGTGGGGATGAGGTTGTCCCACGAGTTGTCGAGCACCGAGATGATCTTGGTGCATTGCTGCATCTGCGACACCGTGCTGCCCGCCGCTGCCATCCTCGCATATGTGTCCTTGATCTTGTCAAGGACCGGCTTCACATCATCTTCCGATCGCATGGAGATGGCCGCCAACTCCTTCTCGAGCACGATCACCATGGGCATCGTGTTGGGCTGAATCACGTCGCGCAGTAGCTTCCACGCATTTGGACCGGAGTCGTCCAACTCAACCAGGTCCTTGATGTGCTGGAACATGTCGTTGTTGACCAATTGCAAGATGAGGTCGAACAACACCGCGCTCCGCTCAATCCACCGATCCCGAGCATCTCCTTCCTCGGACATCTTCTCTTCTCCCATCGCAAGTTTCAGCAGCTTGTAGCGCTTGAAGACGCTCCTCATCCGCCCGCTCCATTCCTCGTAGTTTGAGCCATCCAACGCCTCAATCTTGGATGGTGGCGGCTCACTCCTCTTCTCAGCTGCTTCTCCACTCCCTTGACTCATCTCCTCAGCTCCCAATCACAGGTTTCAGCTCCCCCCCTTTGCTGTCCACACCGAACTCCCACAATTTTCATAAGTGTCGGCGCCAACGAAATTTCGGCAGAGTTTCCCCTTAGCGAAAGTCACATTCAACCTCCAGAACTCCACTTAGGCACGCCCACAGGCCATGGTGGGTCTAGGAGGGTCTTCACACTTCAGTAGACTCTCCACAAAGTCCTTAATCACCTCTGATACCACTTGATAGAGACTAAGGACGGAGTCTATGAAGATTAGGTGCCTAAATTTCTCAAAATCGTTGGCTTAGAATTCTGGACAGAATCGTCGCGCTCACAAGAAACGCCGTCGACGAAACACGCACCGTCAAAACTTCACCTATTTCGGATATGTTGTAGCTTTGGAGCGTAGCTACAATTCCCAATTTGAATCGTTTCAAGAGGTGAAGTATAACTTGACTTATCAATTTCGGCGCACAGGGGGGTATGCTGCCATAAGAACTTAACTCAATCACAAGAGTCTCACAAGATTCACACAAGGATGATAGAGTAGCACTAAACCAGGTAGGAGGGGATGAGGAGGACGAGAAGGAAGGTCCTCAAGGAGTCCCCAACCAAGGAAACCCCATAAGCACATCAAATCCCCTCTCTATAGCAACCCCACTTTGACCTTTGTCACTTTCCCAACCTCCACAATCCACCTCACCCAACTTGGCCACACTTGCCAACCTGGTTTGGCATCTCCTAACCACTACAGTGATGTTGACGAATTTCCCAACCCCCAAGAGTCTATACCCCTTATGGAGTCAACCCCACAACTTCCCATAGTCACCACAACCAAATATCAAAAGCATACGAACTTCAAATGTTCGTAACTTTCTTGTTCGTGCTCCGATTGAAGCGATACTTGGTTCGTCGGAAAGCTCTTGAGCAGAGGAGTCACTCCAGATATCTGCTCAAGCCAAACAACATTCACACATACTCAGAAAATCCAAACGACACCGAATACAAGTTCTTGCACACGCTCACACAACGCATGCAACGCACGAACATATGATGGGAGGCAGACAGACGTGAATGCAAATGATAGCATCACATAACACCACCTGCATGCCGCCTCCACTGGCTGCCAAGGGTGAGGACATGGTCCTTGGTTCTACGAAGGTAGCGGAGGACCCTCTTAGTAGTCTTCCAGTGCTCCTCGGTGTGACGACCGGTGCCAACGAAGCGAGCGAGCACGCTGACGGGGTAGGCAAGGTCGGGGCAGGTGCACATCATGGCGTACATCAGTGACCCAACGAGCTCAGCACAGGGGCGAGGGGAGGAGGAGGAAGAAGTGGGTGGGGCGAGCTGGTGGTCGAAAGGGAGGGGGTTGGCCATGGGACTGGCATGCGCCATCTCGAACTTCTCCAAGACCTGGCCGATGTAATGGGACTGGGAGAGGGTGATGGTGCGAGGAAGACGGTTGCGCGTGATAGCCATGCCTAGGTAGTTCGTGAGGTCGCCCAGGTCCTTGCACTTGAGGCGCTGCTATAGTGACAGCTTCATCTGCTCCATGTTGGCCTTGGAGTCAGAAGGCAGGATCATGTCGTCAACATGCACCAAGATGAAGAAGCGGCAAGGGGAGGAGCGAATGAAGAGGTTGGCGTCGGAGTGCGACGCAGAGAAGCCAAGGGACCCCAGGGTGGCAGACAGCTTCGCGTGCCACTCCCTTGACGCCTTCTTCAAACCATAGACAGGGCGACGCAGCTGCAAGACGGTGTTATCAGGAAAGGCAGCGTGGAACCCAGGAGGCCGCCGTAGGAAGATGCGCTCGTGTAGGTCGCCCTGCAGGAACGCATTGGAGACGTCCATGGAGCATATCTCCATGTTGTCACGCGCCAATGTCGAGGGCTGTGCGAAGAGTGGGTGGTTTGGCGGTGGGGGCGAAGGTGGCCCAGAAATCCACAGCCCAAGTCTGTGTGAAACCCTTGGCGCAGTAGCGTGCCTTGAAGACCGGCTCCACGCCCGGCATCTGCTTCACCCGAAAGACCCACTTGCCCTCGACGAGGTTGGCGTCGGCTGGGAGGGGGACATCGACGAAGGAGTCGTTGCGAATGAATGCCTCACACTCCAAGAACGCCGCTATCCACTTGTCCGCATCAGGGCAGGTGATGGCCTCTTGGAAGGTGGAGGGAGTGAAGATGGTGGGGGTAGAGGTGGCGCCAAGGACGGGAAAGCCGAGGAAGTCAAGGTAGAGGGAGGCAAGGAAAGGAGTGTGTTGCTGAATGTTGAGGAACTCCTCATGGGAGTCCTCAAGGAGCTGAATGGAGGAGGGAGGAGGGGTACCAAGGACCTTGTCCAGGGAGCGGGTATGCATGCGAGGGAGGAGGAAAGGGGAGGAGCAGGAAGTTGCTCGGTGCTGTTCCTGCTGCTGCTGCTGCTGCCCCTGCTGCTGCTGCTGCTGCTGCTGCTGCTGCTGCTGCTGCTGCTGCCGCTGCTGCTGCTGCTGCTGCTGCTGCGGCTGCTGCTGCTGTTGCTATTGCCGCTGCTGACCCGGCTGCTGCTGCTGCCTCGGCTGCTGCTGCTGCCCCTGCTGTTGCTTCTGCTGACCTGGCTGCTGCTGCTGCCCCTGCTGCTGCTGCGGCGGACCCGGCTGCTGCTGTTGCTGCTGCGGTGAAGGGGGAGAATGAGAGGAGGAAGGAGAGGGGGGAGGGGGCGCACCTGAGTGGGCCGGGGAGGCGGGTGTGGCGGGTTTGTAGATGTCGGCAGAGGAGGAAGGAGGGAGTGGAGCGTCAACAGGTGGGAGGAGAGGCGCGGGAGGGAGGAGAGGTGGGAGGACGGTGTCGGTCCAGGCAAGGGGGCGAGAGGGAGGAGGGAGAGGGTCAGGAGGAGGAGTGGAGTAGTAGGGAATGGACTCGTCGAAGACGACGTCAATGCTGCGGATGAGGCGGTTGGTGGGAGGGTGGAGGGGAATCGCGATTGTGCCCGAGGTAGACGCACTCCAAGGCACGAGGGGCGAGCTTGCCAGCAGCGCGGGAGCGATCGGCCGGTGGGATGAGGACGAACGACTTGCAGCCCCAAACGCGAAGGCCGGCAACGTCAGGCTTGGCCTTAGACCAGAGTTATGTGGGGGAGGAGGAGGGATGCTGAGGGTGGGAGTGGAGATTGAGGAGGAGGGCGGCATGAAGGAGGGCATAGCTCTAGAGGGACGGAGGGGTGGTGGCGTGAGCAATGAGGCAACAAGCAATCTTGGTGATCTCGAGAATGCGGCTCTCAGCGATGCCATTTTGCTGAGGGGAGTGGGGGAGGGTGGAGGTCTGCTGAATGCCATGTGATTTGCAGAAAGTGGCGAGGGTGTTGTTGATGAACTCACCCCCACCGTCAGAGTGAAGGCGGCCAATGGGGCGTTCGAAGTGAGTGCGGCACTGCTCAGCCCAGTTGATGACCACAGCCGGCACCTGGTCTTTGGTGTGAAGGAAAAATACAGTGGAGTACCGACTGTGGTCGTCGACGAGGACGAGCATGTACCGATGCCCTTGACGGGAGCGGATGGGATAGGGACCCCAAAGATCCATGTGAACAAGGTCAATGGGGGCGGCAGCGAAAGTGGGATGACTGTGATGGGGGGACTGTTTGAGCTTGCCATGAATGCATGATGGGCATGGGGGAGCAGGGGAGGAAAGGAGGGGAGGTAATGCGGGAGGAAGGCTGTTAAGGAGGCGAGATGTGACGGTGGTGCGAAGCGCGGCGAAGTTGGGATGGCCGAGTCTGTGATGCAGAAGCAATGCAGGGTGGGAGAGAGCAGTAGAGGAGGAGGGGGATTGGGTGGGGGAAGAGGTGGGGGGGGGGAAGAGGAGGGGGAAGGAGTAGGGACTGTGACTTTACCAGATGGGAAAGCGGTGCAAGGGAGGGTGGAGAGGTGAGTGCAGGGGATGGAAAAACTGGAGTCGGCACCATGAACCTGGGTGGGAAGTGGAAGGGGGGTGAGGGTGCCAGCGTCTTTCAGTGCAGTTTCTGTGGCCCCACTATCAAGGACAAAGTCCAGGGTGGGGGAGGAAGGAGGGGGAGGTGACACGGAGTACTGGAAGGACGTCTCATTGATAGCAGAGGGATACATGGAAGCGACAGATGGTGCAACAACAACATGACCAAGGAAACTTTCCTGAGAACCAGGGACACTTGGGGGGGCAGAGGGGAGGGAACCCCAGAGGGGCGGAGCAAGGGAGGCATGAGCGGCCATGGCCGCTGTGCCGAAGGTCATCTGCTGTTGCTGCCACTGCGGCTGAAGTTACTGCGGCGACTGCTGCTGCTGGAAGTACTGCTGCTGCGGTGGCTACTGCGGCTGGAGAAACTGTGGCTGCTGCGGCTGCTGGAAGTACTGCTGCTGCTGGTGGTGCTGCTGAAACTGCTGCAGCTGGGAAGGGGGGAGGGGGTGAGTAGGCAGAGGTGAGCAGGGAGGAAGGAGGGGAGGATCTGAATGTCCACGAGGGAGGGGCGAGGGGTAACACTGTTCCAGCGAGGAGGGGTGCCAGTGTTTTCGCGACCAAACAAGGCGTCATCGAGCGCCTTGAAGCACGTGGCAGGGGGGTGGTTGGTCTGACCACAGGGCGTGCCGGCATGGGGACCATGACAGCGGGCATACGTGCAGGGCGGGAGAGTGTCTGGGCGACCTCCACGACCCACAGCACCACCGGCACCAGAGGGACCTCCAGGAGGGGTACCTCCACCACTTCCACCACGGCCACCACCACCACCACTGCCCCGACCACCACCACCACCTCCGCCCCCTCCACGACCACCTCGATCGCCGTTGCGACCACCTTGGTTGCGCGACTGCGTGGCATTGAGGGAGGTGGAGGAGGACTGAGGGGTGGTGAGGTTGACAATGGGAGTGCGGAGCTTGACCTCCGTGTCAATGATCCACTGAACCACCTCATTGAGGCCAGCCATGGAGTTTGCCTCGGTGAAGGCGTGCAGATGGGACTCGTAATCCGGCGTGAGGTTGAAGAGCAGACGGTGAATCTGCAGCGGCTCGGGGAGGGCAGCCTGACGAGCTGCAAGGCAATCAGCTACCTCCTGCATGCGCCCCACGTAGTCAACCGTGCCATCACAGGTGGAGAGGGTGATGGAGAAGTACTCCTGAAAGAGGACGCCGACGGAGCTGATGTCACGATGCTCAAACATCGCCTGGAGCTCGGCCCAAATTAGGGAGGCTCGCATTTCACGAGCTTGGAAGCGGCGCATGAGGGCGTCGGGAAGCGCACCGAGGAGGATGGTGCAGGCGCGGTTGTCGGTAGCGGCCCATGCTATGCTGTTGGGGATGTGGGTTGCCATGTTGTAATCAGCAAGTAACGCCAGGCGATTGGCACGTTCCGACGTTGCGAACTCGTGATTGTGCACAGCAACTTCATGGTCGGCCTTGCGGATGAGGTATTCGCGGCGACGGTGGAGGAAGGTGGCGTCGGCGGCAGCTTGGAGGTCGGTGGTAGCGGCGATCTCCAGGTTAGGCTCAGGGGGAGGAGAGCCAGGGGGAGTGGGGAACGTGGGAGGTTCACCAGGGTGATTGGGCGCTGTCGGCTGGAGAGCGTGCGGACGGCGAAGGAGCACGTCAAGGACGTAGTAGGGCGGAACGAAGGCGTCCTGGAGGACGCGGCGAATGCTGCCAACAAAGGAATGCCAGTTAATGGCCGATCGATCCGCGGCGAGCTGCAGCTTGTCGACTGAAGAGGCGTCGATGGGAGGGGGAAGAGGGGCAGGGGGGTTAGCAGCCATGAGGGGCGACGAGGGGTGGACCCGCGACGGCGAAGGGTGAGGCGACGGCGGGTGGACCCGCGGCGGTCAAGGGGGAGGCGACGGCGGGTGGACCCGCGGCGGCCAAGGGGAGGCTGCTGCTGCTGAGACGGCTGCACTCTTCTTGCAGCTGCTGCTGCACTCCTCCAACCGCTGCTGCTGCTGCTGCACTCCTTCGCTTGCCGCTGCTGCTGCTGCTGCGCTCCTTCGCCTGCCGCTGCTGCTGCTGCTGCACTCCTCCACCCGCTGCTGCTGCTGCACTCCTGCGGCTGCCGCTGCTGCTGCTGCTGCTGCACTCCTCCACCCGATGCTGCTGCTGCTGCACTCCTCCACCCGCTGCTGCTGCTGCTGCTGCACTCCGGTACCTGCTGCTGCTGCACTCCTCCACCCGTTGCTGCTGCTGCTGCTGCTGCACTACGTTACCTGCTACTGCTGCTGCTGCTGCACTTCCCCGTGCGCTGCTGCTGCTGCTGCTGCTGCAGGACTCCTCTACCAGCTGCTGCTGCTGCTGCTGCGCTCCCATTCCTGCCGCTGCTGCTGGCGTGGGGGGGGAGGGGGGGGGAAGAGGGGTAAAGGAGGAGTGAAACGGCGGCGAGATGAAGAACGGCGGCGGTGTAGCGGCGGCGGTCACAAGGGTGCAGGCGGCAACGGAAGGGCCGCGGTGGCGAAATCGGGGGCGGCGGCGGCGAGCAGGCTGCGGCGTCAAGGGGCGCAGGCGGCGGCGGAAGGGGCCGCGGCGGCGAGAAGGCCGTGGCGTCAAGAGGCGCAGGCGGCGGCTTGAGGGCCGCGGCGGTGGAAGGTGATGGCGGCGGCAGCGTGCAGGTCACGGCAACAAAGGGCACAGGCGACGGCGGAGGGGCCGCGGCGATGGAATTGGGGGCGGCGGCGGCGAGCAGGCTGCGGCGTCGAATGGCGCAGGCGACGGCGGAAGGGCCTGGGCGGCGGACTTGGGGGCGTCGGCGGCGAGCATGTCAAACATTATATGTTCATCTTGTACTAGGCTGTAGTGGGTTTAGCTTTAGGGGGTACACAATATCTCTCGACATTATACTTGTACCCCCCCTTTGACCTAATGCCATCACTCCTAGATTCTGACATGGTTTCAGTGTAGGTCCCGTTCTAGGACCAATGTTTTTTTTTAGGCCCCACCGAATTCGTTCCCTTCTGCCCGGCAGTTATTGTTTCCCTGCCCGGCCGGTCGTTTCTGCCCTGCCCAGCACGCCATCACGTTGCTGCCCTGCCCTGCCCATCGCGCTATAGCGCTGCCCTGCCCAAACCCGCGCGCTGTCGCACTGCCCAGTGCACCCGCCCGCCTGCTGCTCGCGCTGCCCGTGCGCTGCCCGCACGTTGCCCGTGCTGCCCGCACGCCGCTCGCACGCTGCTTGCGCTGCCCGCACGCTGCCCGCACGTCGCCCGCGCTGCCCTGTGCCGCCCGCGCTGCCTGCTCACTGCCGGCCCGCCGTCCGCTGCCCTGCGCGCTGCATTGCCCGCGCTGCCCTGCGCGCTGCATTGCCCGCGCTGCCCTGCGCTGCCTGCGTCCGCCCTGCCTGAGCCGCCCGCGCATTGCCCTGCGTCGCCCGCTCGCGCCCCTGCCCTGCCCCGCTTGAGTTGTCACGCCGCCGGCTAGCGCCCCTGCTGCGCTGCTGCACCGCCAGCTCGCGCCCCTGCCCTGCCCTGCCCTGCTTGCGCGCCTGCTGCTGCTGCCTGCACCGCCAGCTAGCGCGCCTGCTGCTGCTGCCTGCGAGCCGCTCATCCGAGCCGCCCAACCGAGCCACCCAGTCGAGCCGCCTGACCGAGCCGCCCTGTCGAGCCGCCCAACCGAGCCGCCGTGCTGAGCCGCCCCCCCTGCACTAGTGCTGCCCTTGCCCCGCGCACCAGTGCCGTTTTGCACCAGTCCAGCAGCTACTGCCGCCCTTACTGCTGCTACTGCTACTACTGTTGCTGCTGCTGCCACTACCGTTACTGCTGCTATGTCGACCCCTACTGTGCTCACCTTTGACGCCGAGGGCCACCCGGTAGATTTTGAGACCTGGCTAGAGGATCTCCACTGGTACATGCATAGCTTTACTAGGGAGGATGTCTCTCTCTTTGAGCATACCTCGGGGTCCCTCGATGCCCCTGCTGCCTCAGCTGACCACGTAGACCGGTCCAAGTGGACTTCTCGTGACGCTACTGCCGCTCATGCTGTCCGTAGTCACCTTCATCTAGACCAGCGCACCCACTTTCGCCAGCTTAAGACAGCCAAGGCGCTTTACGACGCTGTAATCAAACGCTACTCGTCCCCGTCGTCTGCCACTGTAGACCGTCTGGCGCTGCCGTTCCTCTTTCCTGAGCTGTCAGACTTCACCACTGTAGCTGACCTCCTTACTCACCTCCGCTCCCTTGAGACTCGCTACACTGCGGCCCTCGAGCCCACCTTTCTGGCTGAGAACAAGCCACCCATGTATCTCACCCTTTAATTTCTCACGACCCGCCTCCCTGACTCCCTTCGTGCTATTCGCGACCACTTTCTTGCTCTATACCCCACGAAGATCACCCTCGCCTCGTTTGATTCCCGTCTCTTAGAGGCTGGATCCGCTTCCTTAGCTGTCGCTGTTTCTCGTGGCACTCCCCTCCCCTCTGTCTTTGAGAGGTGCTCCCCCTCCCTGCTGCTGTTGTGGACCTCTTTGGTGCTGAGGAGGTCGGTGCTGCGTCTGCTCCTAGTGGGAGGCGCCGCAACGGCAAGGGCAATGGTGGTAAGGGTGGTGGGGGTGGCGGGGGTAGCGGTGGTGGTGGCGGGGGTGGTGCTGGTGGGGCAGGAGGAGGTGGAGGCGGCAGAGGAGGAGGAGGGGGTGGTGGGAACAGTGGGGGTGGTGGAGGGGGTGGGGGTGGCATTCGGAGTGGAGCTGGCAGAGGAGGGGCTGGAGGTTCGGCCACTCGTACAGCTGCGTCTGGTGGTGCAGCGGGTGGTGGAGGTGGCTCTGGGGGTGGTCAGCAACAGCAGCTGAGCCGACAGGTGCAGCTCTCGCCGCAGCAGCTTCGTGAGTGGGCGATCTGGCATGGCAGCTCAGGTGGCCCAGCTCGCTGCGGGTATGTCCGTCGCACAGGTCAGCCTGGGGCGACTTGCACTCGCACCGACCACACGGAGCCTCGTTGCTTCTTTTGCCTCGACGATCTGTATCGTGCGGAGCATGGTGAGCAGATGACGACTCCTGACTGGTTAGCCTTGCTTAAGAAGGACATACATGTGCTTGCTTGTGACTGGGCCGTGATCCATGCTGGCATGTATGCGAGGTATGCTGCTTCTGCTAGTGTTGAGGATGACTGTTACTCGTGTGTACCTAGTTTTGCTAGGGTTGAGGCTGTTAGTCTCGGTGCTTGTGACTCCGCTAGCGCAGGTGCAGAGCCCAAGGAGGCCTTGCAAACTTTCACTCTAGACTCAGGCGCGTCTCGCTGCTTCTTCCGCGACAGCACCACAGCCACACCGCTCACAGCTCCTGTCCCTGTCACATTGGTCGACCCCTCCGGTGGCCCGGTAGTGGCGCGTGGCTCTACTGTTCTCCCGTGTCCAGCGGCCCCTTTCGGCCTCCTCACAGGTCTCCACCTCCCCTTGTTTGCTAGGAACTTGGTGGCTACCTCTGTCCTCCAGGACCAGTGGGTCACTGTCACCCAGTCTGGGGGAGAGCTCGTGGCGATCTGTACGGACTCACGCACTGGCGAGCACCTCGCCACGTTCACTCGGAGGCCCGGGTCTGGTCTGTACACACTAACTACTGAGCTTGCACATGTGGCTGAGTCTGGTCAGGTAGCTGCGTTGGTTGAGGTCGCTGCGTCTTGTTCGTGTTGTCTCCTCACGCACCAGACTCTCCTATGGCACCACCGTCTTGGCCACCCCTCCTTGCCACGCCTACGTGGCATGCACTCCCGTCTCCTTGTGTCTGGTCTCCCCAGGTCCCTGCCCCCGCTCCCGAGGTCGCTTGCACCGCCGTGCCTTCCCTGCGTCGAAGGGCGGCAGCGCGCCGCTCCTCACTCCTCCTCGTTTCCTCCTACCATTGCTCCTCTGCAGACCCTCCACATGGACGTGTGGGGCCCCGCCCGCGTCACTGGACAGGGTGGCGAGCGCTACTTTCTGCTGGTTGTAGACGAACACACGCGCTACACCACGGTCTTCCCCTTGCAGAGCAAGGCGGATGTCCGCAGTGTCTCCAGCTTCGCGCTCGGTTCCAGCAGGACCTCCCGGTCCTGCGGCTGCACTCTAGCCGAGGTGGTGAGTTTTCCTCCCGCCTCCTCGAGGACTTCTGTGGTGCTGAGGGCATCACCCAGTCGTTCACGCTTCCGGCCTCTCCACAGCAGAATGGGATTGCAGAGCGCCGCATTGGCCTGGTCATGGAGGTTGCTCGCACCTCCATGATCCATGCGGCAGCTCCCCATTTTCTGTGGCCGTTTGCGGTCCGATACCCCGCGCACCAGCTCAACCTCTGGCCCCGTGTCTCCCACCCGGAGACCTCCCCTACACTGCGGTGGACGGGCGAGGTTGGTGATGCGTCGGAGTTTCGGGTATGGGGTTCCCTCTTTCTTGTCCGCGATCCTCCCGCGGTCAAGCTCTCTCCGCGCACTCTTCAATGCGTGTTCCTTGGCTTTCCCACCGACGCCCCGCCCTGGCAGTTTTACCACCCGGGCTCTCGTCGTGTGCTGTCCTCCCACGACGTCACTTTTGACCAGTCAGTCTGCTTCTACCGTCTTTACCCCCACCGCAGTTCCCCGGTACCCCTCCCGCCTCTCTCCCTGGTTGTCGACCCCCCCCCCGGTAGCCCCCCTCCCTATGTCCCCAGGGTGCTGCGGGTGCTGTTGCTGGTGGTACTGGTGCACGTCGGCAGGAGACTCTCTCGCCGGAGCGGCTTCGCGAGTGGGCTGTCCGGTGGGGCAGCCCCGGTGGCAGAGCTGGACGTGCTGGAGCTGGAGGTACTGGAGGTACTGGTGCTGGGGGTACTGACCGTGGAGGTACTACTAGAGGTACTGGAGTTGGAGGTGATGGAGGTGCTGACCCTGGAGGTGCTACTGGAGGTACTGGAGTCCGTGGTGCTAGAGGTCCTGGTGCTAGTCGGCAGGAGTCGCTCTCGCTGCAGTAGCTTCGCAAGCTGGCTGTCCGGTGGGGCAGTCCCAGTGGTGGAGCCGGAGGTGCTGGTCCTAGGGGTGCTGTTACTACTGGAGCTGGATGTTCTGGGGGTGCGACTATTCAGCCGCAGCCGTCTGCGCTTTGTCACCTTCTCAGTCTCCCGCCTGCTGTTACTGAGTTCCCTGTTGCTGGCACTACTCCTCCGTTACTGTTTCCACCGCCTGACCAGTCTCAGCCACAGATACTGCCTCACTCCCTACTGCCTGCTCCTGCTCCTTACAATGCGGTTACAGAGTCCCTCACCGAGAGTAGAGAGCATGCGTCGCGTCCTGTCACGCCTGTCCGTACTCGTCATGCTGTGCGTCCTCGTCCTCCACCTGTCCCTGGCACGCACATCATGGCACTTTGTCCTTCCTCTGTTCCACAGCGTGTTGTCCTGCCGTCGCCTCCTACGTCTACTCTTCCTCACGTTCCTGACCTTGAGTCTGACCTTGTCCGTACGGCCAGTCCGACTGTCACTCATCTTCTTGCCACGGTTGTGACTGACTCTGTTTTTTCGTCTCCAGCTGCGTCTGCCTTAGTCGCTAAGCTTGTTGACTTTGTTGCTCTGTGTTGCCTTGACTACGCTGCAAGTCTTGTTTTTTACTCTTCCTGTCCTCCGTCCGTCGGGGGTGAGCTTGCCCTTGGCTGTGACATTCTTGAGGACAGGCAGTTTGAGTTGGAGTGCCTAGCGGCCGCTGCACCTCATCTCGCGTCCACGCTACTTTGCCCTGAGGGAGACACGGATGCACTGGACATTCCGATCCCGCGCTCTTACGCAGACGCGATCACGGGTCCGTACTCCTCTCAGTGGCAGATAGCCATAGACGCAGAGATGGCTTCCTGGAAGTCCACCGGCACCTACGTCGACACAGTTCCCCCACCTGGGGCGAACATTGTCGATGGGATGTGGATTTTCAGGGTGAAGCGGCCACCAGGTTCTCCGCCTCCCTTCAAGGCGCGTTACGTTGCACGAGGATTCAGTCAGCATGAGGGGGTCGACTTCTTCCATACCTTCTCACCCACCCTGAAGATGACTACTCTTCGGGTGCTACTGTACGTTGCAGCACAGCATGACTACGAGCTGCACTCCCTCGACTTCTCGACAACCTTCTTGCAGGGCAGCCTTCACGAGGCTACCTGGCTGCGCCGCCCACCTGGCGTTACTGGGTCGTTTTCTGAGGGTACCAAGTGGAGCCTCCGGCGGCCAGTGTACGGTCTGCGTCAGGCGCCACGTGAGTGGCACGACACACTGAGGACGACACTTGCGGCTCTTGGTTTCGCTCCCTCGATTGCTGGCTCTTCGCTGTTTCTGCGCACAGACACTTCTCTGCCGCCGTTCTACGTTCTCGTGTACGTCGACGACTTGGTTTTTGATACTGCTAACACTGAGGCACTGGCCATAGTGAAGGCGGAGCTGCAGGAGAGACACACCTGCACTGACATGGGTGAGCTGCAGAGCTATCTTGGCATGCAGATCACCCGGGACAGAGCACGGCGCACCATCACCCTGACTCAGTCACACATGGTGCACCAGGTACTTCAGCGCTTCGGCTTCCAGTAATCCTCGCCACAGCCCACTCCTCTGCCTACAGGCCACTCGCTCTCAGCTCCACCTTCGGACGAGTCCGTAGAGCCGAGTGGTCCGTATCCAGAGCTTGTGGGTTGCCTCGTGTACTTGATGACGTGCACACGACCTGACCTCGCGTACCCTCTCAGCCTCCTTGCTCGCTACGTTGCGCCCGGTAGACACCGGAAGGAGCACTGGACAGCTGCACAGAGGGTAATGCGTTACTTGTGCAGTACATCAGGCATGGGGCTTGTGCTTGGGGGACAGGGTCCAGTTGTTCTCACCGGTCACTCAGACGCTTCTTGGGCTGACGACCAGACGACACACCGGTCGACACAGGGGTACAGTTTCAGCCTCGACACATGTTCTGTCTCGTGGAGCTCCACTCGCTCGTCTTCTGTACTTAGTTCCAGCTGTGAGGCCGAGATCTACGCTGGGGCTATGGCTGCACAGGAGCTCCGCTAGCTAACCTACCTGCTGACTGACTTGGGTGAGCGGCCTCGTTCTCCTCCACACATGTACGTTGACAACAAGGCCATGATTGCCTTGTGTCAGAACTAGAGACTGGAGCACAGAACGAAGCACATTGCTCTTCGATACTTCCTCACGCGAGAGCTGCAGCAGCGTGGTCAGCTTCACCTTGCTTACGTGGCCTCACAGGCCAAGACTGCTGATGTCTTCACCAAGGCCCTTGGGTCTGGTGATCATTAGCGTTTCTGCACTGCTCTTGGGCGCGTGCCCACTCTGCCTCACATGCTTGTCTCTTGATCTTGCCTTGGCCTTGTTGTACACTGAGATATATGAGTATACCTGCATCCTTACACTTGCTACACTCAGTGTACTGCTCTTGCTATTATAAACACTGCATATGAACTGGCCTCGTGGCCACTTGGTTGTGCTCAGAATGCGTGGTGATCTTGAGATCCACCCTGAGCGTTGCTTTGCTTTGCTTCTTCTCTTGACTGGTCTTATGCCCATTGCTTGCTCTGGCTATCCCCCACTTCGCCTATGGGGGTGTGTCAAACATTATATGTTCATCTTGTACTATGTTGTAGTGGGTTTAGCCTTAGGGGGTACACAATTTCTTTCGACATTGTACTTGTACCCCCCCTTTGACCTAATGCCATCACTCCTAGATTCTAACAGAGCAGGCCGCGGTGGAAGGGAGGCGCAGGCGGCGACGTAAGGGCCGCGGCGTCAACGGGTGCAGGCGACGGCGGGAGGGCCGCTGCGACGGAAGTAGGGACATCGGCGGCGAGCAGACTGCGGCGACGAGAGGCGCAGGCGGCGGCGCGAGAGCCGCGGCGGCGGAATTGGGGGCGGCGGCGGCGTGCAGGTCGCGGCGACGAACAGCGCAGGCGACGGTGGGAGAGCCGCGGCGACGGGAATAGGGGCGTCGGCGGCGAGCAGGTTGCGGTGACGAGAGGCGCAGGCGGCGGCGTAAGGGCCGCGGCGGCAAAGTTGGGTGCGGCTGCGACGTGCAGGTCGCGGCGACGAGGGGTGCAGGCGACGGCGGAAGGGCCGCGGCGGCGAAATTGGGAGCGGCGGCGGCAAGCAGGCCGCGGCGGCGAAAAGGCGCAGGCGGCGGCGAAATGGCCGCGGCGGCGAAATTGAGTGCTGCGGTGGCGATATAGGCCACGGCGGTTAAGCTGGCAAGGGTGGGCCTGTGGAAGAAGGAGGAATAAAAATGATGGGAGGGAGGGAGGTGTAAGCCAAGAATTTAAGTTCTGATACCATGTGTGAAATTAGGGTTGAACATAAACCATTAGTTTCATTAGATAGAGAAACAAGCATACGTAGTTTTGGAAGAGAAGGTTGGAAGGGATAGGGAGGGAGGTGGAATTGGGGGAGTGGGCCAACCTATGGCCCATTGGGTTGGGTTGACCACACTTGGGGAACTGGGGCAACCTATGGCCCAATGGGTTGGGTTGGCCTCACTTTGGGAAGTGGGGTACCCTATGGCCCATAGGGTTGCATTTGGGGGCTCCACCACAATTGGGTTGGATTGGCACCCCAAAGTGCAAGACTACACCCAAAGTTGGGTGTAGTCCCAACCCAACTGTACACCACGATTGGTGTACAGTCACAAGTGTTGGCATGCTACACAATATAATTCTAACAGCGGCAGATGGGAGTGTATCTACTGTCCCTGCTGCACAAGCTTCACCTGCACTCACAATCCCTGTTGCTGCTGCTGCTGCTGCTGCTGGTTGCACTGCTGGTTTCGGCGTTGCTGCCACTGCCGCAGCCACTGCTTGCACTGCTGTTACCTCGATGACCATGAGCAGAAGTACGGAGGAGGGAGGGGATGAGGGGGCATTGCAGCAGGATGGCAGCAGTGGCGTGGAGGAGTGGGAGGCGATGTGTGGCGGGCTGGCGCCCATAGACCACCTCCCATAGGGCAGCGCGCCTCCACCTGCTGCCGCTGCTCCACCCGCCACACTTGCTCTACCAGCTGACGCTGACGTGGATGTGTGGGCTGCTGGCATGGAGGGTGAAGGCGCGGAGAGAACGGGAAGGGAGGGAACATGCATATATGGTGTGTCTGTGGATGGTTGGGGCATGCATGGCAGCACACCCGGTGCCATGTCGGGAGATGTGACCTCCCCCATGCCTCAGCCTGCCTGGGCCAGCCCATGGGACCACCTGCCACTTGCGCCCGATGGCACCAGCGCAGCTGACGTCAGCAGCAGCAGCTCCCGCGCTCTCAGCACCTCCCCACCGCACCCAACCTCTCTCCTCATTCGCCACGTCTCTCAGCCACCAGCCACCCACCATCCTCCCTTCCCCGCCTGCGCCCGTGCCTCCCCGTTTTCAAGTGCCCAGCCTGCCCTGGCCTGCCCTCGCTGCTCCAGGCCATCTGGGAGGCGTGGGTGGGGGAGGGGGTGAGGCTGTGGGTGTAGGCAAGGATGGGAGCGAGGGCGGGGCAGCGGGGGAGTGGGAGGAGGCGGTGGTGTTGACATTGAAGCGCGAGCTGCTGGACGTGGAGGCGGCGGCGGGCGTGGAGGCCATGGAGGGCCCCCGGGGGCGGTCGGGCAGGCGCCGTGCATGGCGGGCCATGGTGAAGCGCGCTGACACCAAGCACTGGCGCAACGTGAGCCGCTGCCCCTGCTGCCCCTCTTGCTTGTGCTCTTTGGCATGCTCCTGCTGCCGCTCTTCCCTGCTATCCCTGCTGCTCTTGCTTCCCTTGGTTTATTCCACCTCCCCACACATACCATCACTCACTCTTCCCCCATCGCTGCAGGGTATCCAAGAACACGCATGGACTGTGCATCCGTGAAGGAATTTCATTCACACTTTTCGCATTTCTGATTCTTCAATCCTGATTACTTTCCTCTAGTTTCTCATGCTTCAAATGAAGCCCTTTCCTGTTCATTGCACCTGCTTCCTACAATCCGCTATCACCCTGCCCTCGCAGACCTCCTTCCGCAATGACATAACTTTGCACCAATTCCTCCCACTCCCTTGCACCGCTTCCCACCCATTCACCTCATGCCCTACCCCACCCCTCCTCTCCCCCCCGCACTCCCCCAGTTGCTGCACGCCTGCATCCTGCTGGAGCTCGCCATCCGTGCCGACCGTCTCGCCCTGGGCTGGCGTTTCTGGTGCTCCCCGGCCGCAGCAGCCTCCTGCGCCACGCTGGCAGCGCTGGCCCTGCGCGTGCGCGCCCTCGACCGCGCCGCCCTCTACTTCAAGGGCCCCCTCCGCCCCGCCGCCGCCGCACGAGCGCCGCCCCGCGCGCACAGTGTTGGGGGCCAGGGCAAGGGAGCAGCGGCGGCGGTGGTGGTGGAGAGCAAGCGGGGTGCGGCGGTGGCGGCGGTGGTGGTGGCGGAGGAGGCGGATGTGGTGGAGGTGTCGGGGGTGCGAGTGGCGATGGGGAGGTTGGCAGTGTGGAGTTTGACATGTTTGACGAGGAGACCGCCGCCTCGGCAGAGGTTCTTGAGATGCTCAAGGCGCTGGGCTGATGACGTGGATGGATTTGGCGGTGGGGGTTGTGTGTGGCTTTGTCCAACATTGTGGTCTAGGGCTTTAAGACGGGACGATTTTGACTGATTCTTAGGCGGCTTGGGATGCAGGGTGAATTAGTTCCATATAGCTACGGTACCATACTTGTTCTTGCATCTCCATGTTCCGTGGGTGCATTAGCACGGTCCCCGTTGATGCATGAGTTAACATTCAGTGTTCAGCTTATCCTTCAAAGTAGCGCTACTGTACCATGTACCAGTTTGTCCGTGGTTGAAGGGAGCAATTATAACTCAACAACAACTTGTACCCTAGAGACCCAGATAAGAACACATTGGCCTGTAGGAAATACCTCCAAAAAGTCACATGGACTTCTAATAAGGTAAAATCAATACCGTATTCGCTCGAATAGTAGTCCGGGGGGGAAGTTACATACAGTCATCCTACCAACATTGATAGGGGGCGGGGGGAGGTCCCAACCCACATTCCAGAAATCAACATCGAGCCACACGGAAGCAGATTCAGTGGCACAGCGACCCAACGAAAGCGCACACTACGCCATTACAACATGACCAGCAGCCCAAAAAGTTGCTCAAGGCCGTGCCCTCTCAACCAGGCTTGAATGTCGTGGCCATGCCAGCAACCGTTCACAAACAGATACCGCAGAGCTGGCAGCTGAGTGAAGCCCTCTGGGAAACCCTGCAGCTTCTTACAGTCTTTCAGGGAAAGGCTCCTCAGCTTGCTGAGGTGCGCGAACCCAGCAGGAAGCACGGCGATGGAGGTGGAAGACACGTCCAAATCATGCAGGCAGGCGAGGCGCGTGAGAGAAGCCGGCAGCTGCTGCAGCTCCCGGCAATCAGACAAATCGAGCGTGCGCAGTCGGGACAGAGCACCGATGGTATCGGGGAGCGAAGCCAGCCTGGGCGCGTGGATTTCCAAGGCTGTGAGTTGCTGCAGTTGTGCAATGCTGCCTGGCACCTCCTCCAGCGATGGAACCTGCTCCAGCTTCAGCTGCCGCAGCTGCGGCACCGCTGCCCCGATGCTTTCCGGGAGGCTTCTGATACCATTCCCCAATATCGTCAACTGACGTAGGGAAGGGAGGAAAGTGAAGGGGAAGTGAAGCGGCAGAGCAGTGGTGTCCAGATGCAGGACCAAGCGGTGCAACCTGCTCCAACAATGACCCGCAGAGCCTGCTGCCCCTCCAACGTGCAGCTCGCTGGCAGTGCAACCTGCTGCTCCCCGCCCTTGCGCACCCCCATCCCCATCAACCTGCACCTCCAGCTCCCTCAGCTGGGACAGCCCAGAGACGTCTGGCACTGGAGTGGGCTGGTTGTCACACCAAATCACGCTTAGGAACTCAAGAGAGCACGGCAGAATGGCAGGAGGCTGACCCAGTCCTTCACAGTGTGTCAGCTGCAACTGCTTCAGCCTCTTGAGGCTATCCAGCCTTCTGGGCACCCATGAAAGCCGCGGGCAATGAGCAACTGCCAGGCGTTCAAGACGGGTGAGTCGAGTGATGGACTCTGGAAGACTGCTGATGGGGCATGACCACATGCTCAGCTCCGATAGGTTTGTCATCTCCCCAAACGCATCCGGAAGCTCAGGTATTGCGCAGTCATGCAACTGTAGACTGGTCAATGAAGTCAACGCGGTCAACGAGGATGGGAGGTGCTGCTGGCGGCGGGAGCCCATGAAGCGGAGAGTGGCAAGGCTGGTGAGCTGCCCAATGTCGTGTGGAAGCGAGAAATCGCACAGGAGCTCGATGCAGAGGGTCTTGAGAGCGGGGAGGCAGCAGAAACCAGCTGGAAGCTCGCGGAGCTGGTCGCAACTGTGGAGGACTAGAGCGTTGAGGGATGTGAGTTGGGAGAGGGAACTAGGGAGGGCAAAAACAGGCAGCGACTTAAGCACGAGTGTTTTGAGAGCTGGCAGATGACCCAGGCTGCTGGGCAGTACGTGAAGGAATTCTGCTTCAGAGATAACCAGGACTTCCAAACGGGTGAGAAGGGGCAAGGCTTCAGGCAGTTCCGCCAAGTCATGGCAGTCACGGATGACTAGCTTGCGCAGGGAGGGGAGCAGATCTCCAATGCCGTTGGGGAGGCCTTCGAGCTCCTGGTAACTTGTGAGAAGCAGCTGCTGCAGGCTGGCGCATGGGGGTGATCCCGGTGGAAACATCAGGTCGAATGGAGGGGTGAAATTTGTGAATCTGAGCATTTCCAGGCGAGACAGCAGTGATATGCTGAAAGGAGCTGATGGCTGGTCGCTACGATGCAGAGCGAAGACAGAAAGGTGCGCGATGGGGAGGTCAAGGAGGCTGGATAGCTGCTGCAGATGAAACGGGAAGGCTAGATGCAGGTTGGTGAGGGAGGTTACGTTCCTGAACTCCGGATTTTCTAGGGTTGCCGGGGTCGTGAGAGCGAGAGTGTGCAGGTGCTTGAGTTGGAAGAAGGACGCGGGGAAGTCAGCACCGACGCGGAGGCAGTAGAGCGAGAGCTGCTGCAGCTGAGAGCAGCGGCGGAAGAAGAGATCCATCCCGGCGTCTGTGATTGGATGCTCGTGGTTCGCTCCACCAATCCGCGGCGTTATCTTCCCTCCCACGTGGAGGATGGCCAGCTTGGGACATGACGAGGCGAGGTGAGCAAAAAACGCGTCGTTTAGGGTTTCAACGCTGTTGTCGCACAGATGGAGATGCGTGAGGCTCGGGAAGCGCGCAACGGCGACGGTTAGGTCTTGGAGGGACGCGACGAGGTTCTCTCTGAGAAGAAGCTCGGAGAAATGAGGGTGCACGTGGTGTTGCGCGACGCGCCGCCAGCGACGGCAGACGGACGCGATTAGGAGATTGATAGGGGCAGATACAGACGCCAGAGGAGTCGGTAGAGGTGTATCGTATTGCATTTTAACCAAGTCGCGATTTCCACGGATGTCCGTTGGCTCTAAGTCCAAGGACGCCCACAATGCGTCGCTGTCAGGCTTGCGGGAATGAGGCTTCGTGAGTTGCCGTAGAACTTTGATTAGAAGATCGTCAGAGAGACTGTCGATGTGTGTGCGAGACTCCATAGCTGAGATGGCTAAGAATGTATGGAAAAAGGTTGAACCTACAGGTGCAACGGTAGAATCACTATTCTAGCTTGACGTGTTTAGACCCTTGCGCTCACTCCCTCAACGTTCTTTTATTTCCTTTACTCCAGCGAATAGCCCTATGTTCTAGTCTGGCAAATGCCCAAGTTCCTCAGAGAAGGCTTGGCACGGGAAGTGTCGGCGAGAAACGCGAACTGGTGGCGAGAAGGTAACGAATTATATTGCCGGAGGTAGGTGAATTGATTCGCCCTAGCCAACTCGTCAGTATATTCGTTAAAAGAACCACACAATATGGTCGACAAGTAACGAGTTGGCGAAACAGCATCTGCAACAAATGAAACTGGTAGGTTTTCTATAAGCCTTTCTGTAAAAAAATGTTCCTGCAGTAGAAAGTTCAAAGAGAAGCAAACCTTTGCTTATTATGGCTTGATGATAAGCAAACTAATGTGCATAAGCATACCAGTTTGTCAAACATACATTGTTAGGCTGTAGTGGGTTACTCCCTATAGGGTACAACCCTTGTTAGGGTTAGTAATTGTACCGCATTTCCTGCTTAGTCAGACCATTCCTGTTTTCCTATATTGACATGGTTTCATAGCAGGTCCCGTTCTAGGACCGATTTTTTAGGGCCCACCGATTAGTTCCGTCCTGCCCGGCGTTCGTTTTTGCCCTGCCCTGCCCGACGTTTTTGCCCCGCCCACCACGCTGTCGTGCTGCTGCCCTGCCCTGCCCAGCGCGCTATCGCGCTGCCCTGCCCAAACCCGCGCGCTGTCGCGCTGTCCAGTGCGCTCGCCCGCCCGCTGCCCCGCACGCTGCTCGCGCTGCCTGCGCGCTGCTCGCACGCTGCCCGCGCTGCCCGCACGCCGCCCGCACGCTGCTCGCGCTGCCCGCGCGCAGCCCGCACGCCGCCCGTGCTGCTTGTCAGCAGCCCGCACGCTGCCCGCGCTGCCTGCTCGCGCTACAAGCGCGCTGCCCGCGCGCTGCTCGCGCTGCCCGCGCGCTGCTCGCGCGCTGCTCGCGCTGCCCGCACGCCGCCCGCACGCTGCTCGCGCTGCCCGCGCGCTGCCCGCACGTCGCCCGCGCTGCCCGTCAGGAGCCCGCACGCCGCCCGCGCTGCCCGTCAGGAGCCCGCACGCCGCCCGCACTGCCCTGTGCCGCCCACGCTGCCTGCTCGCTGCCGGCCCGCCCTCCGCTGCCCGCGCGCTGCTCGCGCTGCCCGCACGCCGCCCGCACGCTGCTCGCGCTGCCCGCGCGCTGCCCGCACGCCGCCCGCGCTGCCCGTCAGGAGCCCGCACGCCGCCCGCACTGCCCTGTGCTGCCCACGCTGCCTGCTCGCTGCCGGCCCGCCCTCCGCTGCCCTGCGCGCTGCATTGCCCGCGCTGCCCTGCGCTGCTTGTGTGCGCCCTGCCTGAGCCGCCGGCGCATTGCCCTGCGCTGCCCGCTCCCTGCCCTGTCTTGCGTTGCCAAGACGCCAGCTCGCGCCCCTACGGCTGCGCGCTGCCCTGCTCTGCTTGCCCTGCTTGCGCGCCTGCTGCTGCCGTCTGCACCCGCCCTGCCGAGGCGCCCAGCCGAGCCGCCCAACCGAGCCGCCCAGTCCAGCCGCCCGGCCGAGCCGCCCTGCCGAGCCGCCCAGCCAAGCCGCTCCCCTTGCACTAGTGCTGCCTTTGCCCCGCGCACCAGTATTGTTCTGCACCAGTCCAGCAGCTACTGCCGCTCTTTCGGTCCGTAGTCACCTTTCGGTAGACCAGCGCACCCACTTTCGCCAGCTTAAGACGGCCAAGGCACTTTACGACGCTGTAGTCAAGCGCTACTCCTCCCCGTCGTCTGCCAGTGTAGGCCGTCTGGCGCTGTAGCTGACATCCTGACTCACCTACGCTCCCTTGACACCTGCTACCGTGCCGCTCTCGAGCCCGCCTTTCTGGCTGAGAACAAGCCCCCCATGTATCTCACCCTTTACTTTCTCACGACCCGCCTCCCTGACTCCCTTCGTGGTCTTCGCGACCACTTTCTCGCTCTAGACCCCATGAAGATCACCCTCGCCTCGTTTGAGTCCCGTCTCTTAGAGGCTGAGTCCGCTGCCTTAGCTGTCACTGCCTCTCGTGGCACTCCCCTCCCCTATGTCTTTGAGGGGTGCTCCCCCTCCCTGCTCGCGCCGTCTGTTGCCTCTGCTGCTGCTGTGGACCTCCTTGGTGCTGAGGAGGTCGGTGCTGCGTCTGCTCCTAGTGGGAGGCGCCGCAACGGCAAGGGCAAGGGTGGCAAGGGTGGGGGTGGTGGGGGTGGAGGGGGTAGCGGTGGTGGTGGCGGGGGTGGTGGTGGTGGTGGTGGGGGAGGAGGAGGTGGAGGCGGCAGAGGTGGAGGAGGGGGTGGTGGGAGCAGTGGGGGTGGTGGAGGGGGTGGGGGTGGCACTCGGAGTGGAGCTGGCGGAGGAGGAGCTGGAGGTTCGGCCACTCGTACAGCTGCGTCTGGTGGTGCAGCGGGTGGTGGAGGTGGCTCTGGGGGTGGCCAGTAGCAGCAGCAGCAGCTGAGTCGACAGGTGCCGCTCTCGCCGCAGCAGCTTCGTGAGTGGGCGATCCGGCGTGGCAGCTCAGGTGGCCCAGCTCGATGCGGGTACGTTCGTCGCATAGGTCAGCCTGGAGCGACTTGTACTCGCACCGACCACACGGAGCCTCGCTGCTTCTTTTGCCTCGACGATCTGTATCGTGCGAAGCATGGTGAGCAGATGACGACTCCTGACTGGTTAGCCTTGCTTAAGAAGGACATCGATGTGTTTGCTTGTGACTGGGTCGTGATCCATGCTGGCATATATGTGATCTATGCTGCTTCTACTAGTGATGAGGATGACTCTTACTTGTGTGTGCCTAGAGTTGCTAGTGTAGAGGCTGCTAGTCTAGGTGCTTGTGACTCAGCTAGCGCCGGTGCAGAGCCAGAGGAGGCCTTGCACTCTTTCACTCAAGACTCAGGCGTGTCTCACTGCCTTTTCCGCGACTGCACCACGGTTACACCGCTCACAGTCCCGGTCCCTGTCACTCTAGCCGACCCCTCTGGTGGCTCAGTCGTTGCACGTGGCTCCACTGTTCTCCCGTGTCCGGCAGCCCCCTCCAGTTCCCTCTCAGGTCTCCACCTCCCCTCGTTCGCTGTCCTCCAGGACCAGTTAGTCACTGTGACCCAGCCTGGGGGTGAGCTCGTGGCGATCTGTACGGACTCCCGCACTGGCGAGCACCTCGCCACATTCACTCGGAGGCCTGGGTCTGGCCTGTACACACTGACCACTGAGTCTGCACAGGTAGCTGAGTCAGGTCCGGTAGCTGCGTCAGGTGAGGTAGCTGCGTCCTGTTTGTATCGACTCCTCACGCACCCGGCTCTGCTTTGGCACCACCGTCTTGGTCACCCCTCCTAGCTGCGTCGGTGCAGCATGCACTCCCGTCTCCTTGTCTCTGGCCTCCCCAGGTCTCTGCCCCCGCTCTCGAGGTCGCTTGCGCTGCCGTGCCTTCCCTGCCTCGAGGGGCGGCAGCGCGCCGCTCCTCACTCCTCCTCGTTTCCCCCGACCACAGCTCCTCTGCAGACCCTCCACATGGACGTGTGGAGTCCAGCCCGCGTCACTGGACAGGGCGGAGAGCGCTACTTTTTCTGGTTGTTGACGACTACACGCGCTACACCACGGTCTGCCCCTTGCAGAGCAAGGCAGATGTCCGCAGTGTGTTGATCCGCTGGATCCGTGCTGTCCGTCGCCAGCTCAGCGCTCGGTTCCAGCAGGACCTCCCGGCCCTGCGACTGCACTCTGACCGAGGTGGTGAGTTTTCCTCCCGCCTCCTCGAGGACTTCTGTGGTGCTGAGGGCATCACCTAGTCGTTCACGCTTCTGGCCTCTCCGCAGCAGAATGGGATTGCAGAGCGCCGCATTGGCTTGGTCATGGAGGTTGCTCGCACCTCTCTTGTCCATGAGGCTGCTCCCCATGTTTTGTGGCCGTTTGCGGTCCGATACGCCGCTGAGCAGCTCAACCTCTGGCCCCGTGTCTCCCACCTGGAGACCTCCCCTACTCTATGGTGGACGGGCGAGGTTGGTGGGTCTGGGGTTCCCTCTCTCTTGTACGCGATCTGCTCGCGGGCAAGCTCTCTCCGCGCACTCTTCTGTGCGTGTTCCTTGGCATTCCCACCGACGCACCTCCCTGGCAGTTTTACCACCCGGGCTCTCGTCGTGTGCTGTCCTCCCGCGATGTCACTTTTGACGAGTCAGTCTGCTTCTACCGTCTTCACCCCCACCGCAGTTCCCCGGTACCCCTCCCGCCTCTCTCCCTGTTTCTTGACTCCCCCCCGGTAGCCCCCCTCCCTCCTCCGGGTCCTGCTCCCTCAGGTGTGTCCCAGGTTGACCCACCCCCCTTGGTTGCGCCTTTGGAGGTTTCCTCCGACAACTCTGGCCCAGCTGAGGGGGGTGACCCAGCTGCTGACGACACGGCGACCACTCGCCGCTCACCGCGCTTGGAGACCCCTCCTGGGTTTCTGCCTCGACCGTCTTCACCACCTCTGCAGCCAGTCGCTGTGGACCGTGGTGCTGCAGGAGGTGGTGACTCTGAGGGTGCTGACTTAGGGGGTGCTGGTTCTAGGGGTGCTGAGAGTCCTTCTGGTAGTCGGGTTGTGGGTACTCCTTCTGGAGCCTCTGGGAGTGGACGCCAGCGGTAGCCGAGTCGAGCAGGTGACCCTCTCGCCGAAGGAGGTTCGTGTGCGGGCTGTCCGGTGGGGAAGCCCCGGTGGTGGAGCTGGAGGTGCTGGAGCTGGAGGTGCTAGAGGCACTGGTCCTGGATGTACTGATACTGGAGGTGC